TACAATTAAGAATTCCTCATATCAGTGAGATCATATGATACATGTCTTTCTCTGTTTGACTTATTTCACTCAACATAATACCCTCCAGTTCCATCCACGTTGTTGCTGTACACTTTTAATACACAGCAGTTTAGGCTTTTTAGCAACAAAAGGACTGAGGCCTTAAAGTTATTAATCTGTGTTTGTTGAGTGCTCCTCTGCATTAGGTATTTTGCCTCCATTGTTAAAACTAGAATATAAATGTTACCCTGATTTTACAGAAGAGAGGGGTCTGATATCAGAGATTTCTGTGCTGTAAGCTTAGCTGTAGAATGATCCAGAAGAAGAGCAATCGTAAAACCTCTGGCTTTCAGTGGTGCACATACATGATGGGATTCTTGCTCTTGTCCTTCCTGCAGCTTTAGCTCCTGGGCGTTTGTGCACGTCAGATCCCTAGACCGAAGTGCTAGGCTCAGACCCATATTTCCATCTGGCTTCTGGACATTCTCCTCTGGTTTTTTTCTTTTAACTCAATTAAAACAGGTTTAGACTTGAACTCATTTCCATCTTCCCCAAAGCTGCTCCATCTCTGTTAACTCTAGGTTAAACTGGACCCCCTCATTGCCTGAGCTGCAGATTTCAGCATTGTTTTTTCCCTCTTTCCCAATCTACCTTGTATAGATGGTCAACAAAACCTTCTATTTCTGCCTCCTGAATATCTCTGAGGTCATTGTCTCCTACGTTCTTTCTTAGTCTGTATTCTTTTAATAACCTCCAAAGTGGAGTCCACCCCTGCCTCCAGAGTATCTTCATTCGCAGCCATTCTGCCTTGAAGAGATGGCAGTTATCTAGTTGAAAATCATGAATAATGTTCAGGAGTACTTATTTCTAAAGTATTTTTTCGCTGTGAAAAGAAGTTGGAGAGCACAGGCCCTTTTGGAGGGACATTCTCCCTCCCTCTCTCTTTCTCTCTCTCAGACACACACACAAAGGTGGTAATTTTTAATTCTCAGAATTCTCTTTTTCTAGCATTGAATTATCAGGGAGGGCATTACTGAAAGGGGCTTTCACTTGCCTCATTTGTTAAATAAGATAATTTACTTGATAATTTGGGGTAATATAATTCTAGGTTATTACTTACATTAAAGTTTTCTTTGCTGGATTATTACCATCCATTGGCAGTAGTGAAAATTACAACCACTTATTTTAGCTGAAGTACATCTTTTCAGTTGTGAGGTAAAAATTAAAAATGACCAGTGGTAGTTGACAAGCATCTCGTCGCTAATATAATTTCTTCTCCCAAATAGTGGAGTGATGTTTGTGAGAAGGGAAAGAAATTTAAGTCCGTCTTGAGCTAACTCTGATGGATAATATAATATCCTATAATAAAACACATAAGGAGGCATTATATTTATCTTCCCATGGATTCAAATAAATACAAATCTACACCAGTCCCTTTGATTTTTGAGTACATGGTGTGGACCAAAGTGATGTTTAAATTCTCGGAAGACGATGGGACCGCTGCCTCCCAGCAGTGCCTACCAGACAGCTGCACAACAGGGGTCTCACTGATCGCAGAACCATGGGCCTTTTCACAGCTCTCCACGACCACGGTCTCGTCTTCCAGGGACACTACGTAGAGACGTTGCTTTTCAGAGGGCTGTGTGAGAGCAACATAGATTTCCTGACTGATGAGGATTGCCAGATGTTTTCACATGACTGTGACCTATGACCGTGACCCTTGGGGTGACATAACAGGTGGCCTTGCTAGCAGTGTGGTTGCTCTTTCCTTTAAGGTGGTGGGTAGAGCTTCCACTCTGGTAGATGGATAGATAGACATGCCTCTGCTTTGTGATGTCTTCTTCTCAAACTTTGGAAAGGAAAGAAAATACTATAAAAAACACATTGGGGCGCCTGGGTGGCTCAGTTGTTAAGCATCTGCCTTTGGCTCAGGCCATGATCCCGGGGTCCTGGGATCGAGCCCCACATTGGGCTCCCTGCTCAGCGGGAAGCCTGCTTCTCCCTCTCCCACTCCCTCTCGCTGTGTCTCTCTCTGTCAAATAAATAAAAATCTTAAAAAAAAAAACAAAACACATTTGTGTGCGTGGGTGTGCCTCCGTACATGCACATCCTATTTTATTCCACCTTACAAGTTCTGAAAACAGTTATTTTAAAGTATGCCTTGAAATGATTAAAAATAATAAAGCACTGCTTCCTTTTCCAGCTCAGAAGATAAAATAACAGTCCACTTTGTAAACCGTGACGGTGAGACATTAACAGCCAAAGGAAAAGTTGGTGACTCTCTACTAGATGTTGTGATTGAAAATAATCTAGATATTGATGGTTTTGGTGAGTATTCCTTAAAATTTATAAGTGAAACCATTTAGGAACTTTTGGGGGTTTTTTTGCAGAATTTTAACCTTTAGCATGCTAAGTAAAATGTTAAAATTCAGGATGTGTTAGTGTTAAATTCTCATTTCTAAAGAACATGAGTGACACTGCATTTCTCTTCTTTGTACATTGACTTAACTATGTGCCCCGAAGTCTGTTGCCTCGTTACCTTACCGATGATGACTTGTGTGCCACTAAGCTGGGAGTAGTAACCGGAGTTGAAAGACACCAGGTTAGAGATAATGAATGTCATATCACGGAAGAGTAGTTAGTTTTGACTTAGTTTTTTGGTTTTAACTTTATATTTGGAAATATCTTTGACGTAGAGAAAAGAATTTTCCTGTATAATCTTCACTAAGCTTCCCCTACGATTAACAATTTACATAACTGTGGTATAATAATCAAAACCCAGAAATTAATGTTGGTTCAAAAACTCAAAAACTCTAGACTTAATAGAATTTTCCTATGACTGTCTTTTGTTTTGGGATTCGATGTAAGAGCCCACATTGCATTTAGGTATTCTTTCTCTGTAGTCCCCTTCAGTTTGTGACATTTCCTTAGTCCTTTCTTATTTTTCATGACCTTGATGCTTTTGAAAAGTACTGGTATGTTATTTTATAAAATGTCTCCCTCAATTTGGGTTTGACTGGTGTTTTCTTGTATTGATAGAACTAATGCATTATTTTAAGGGTGTTTTATTTTGCTTACTCTTTTTCTAAATCTTATTTTTATTGAGGTGTAATTGCCATTTAACGTTATATTAGTTTTAGGTGTATCACATACTGATTGGGTATTTGTTATGTATTGCAAAGTGGTCACTGCAACACGTCCAGCTAACCTGCGTCACCACACAGAGTCTTGAATGCCCTTTCTCCTTCCTCGGAAGGGCAGTTTATCTGCCTCTTGTTAGAAAGTTTTTGTGTCTAGATCTGACCATATTCTTTATCCACTCACACAAAGCAGGTGTCCCAGAAACTGCCTTCTTATAGCTCAGGGATACGCAGTCTGTCACTTGGCAGTTTTGCTCAAGCACACTCTCTCTCTCTCTCTGGAGTGGTGGTTCTCAAAGGGGGTTCCTTTTACCATTAGCATCAGTGTCACTTGGGGGAGTGCAGATCCTGAGGCCCCACTCCAGACCTACTGAGTCAGAAGGGCTGCAGTAGGGCCCAGCAATGTGTGTTTTAACAGGTCCCCTGTGTGATTCTGATGTATGTTAGTGTTTGAGAACCATTGGTCTTCAGTAAGGCCCAAGGAGTGTATCTGACTAACATTCTTTCAAGGCACTGTTCACATTGCACTTTTAAGAGCCCTTTGCACATCAGAATTATTTCTCCTGCTCTGTTTTTCCATCATATAATAAATATGCCTGTCTGTGTTAGTGCTCATCACAGTTTTCCTTTTTAGGAAGAATGCCTCTCTCCTGTATGAGATTATGAGTTTTTGCTCAGTTACCTCACAGAGTAGATTTTGTCCAGAGTTGACAGTGCATCATATTTGCTGAATTCTTAAATCTAATGTCAGGTTCAGGGCAAATTATAACAACTCCCATTTGAGTGCATATGACATTCCAGCATATGTTATCTCTTCTTGTAACAACTTTAAGAACTAGATTTGTTTTTTAAACTTCTATTTTATAGATGAAAAAAGTAAGGTTCAGAGAAATTAATTTTCCCTGGGTCATACATGGAGCAAGTAGGAGGTCTAGGACTCAAGTCTCTAACTCCCAAACCTCGGGCTTTTTCCTTTCTACCATTTTCCCTAAGAGATGTCCTTCCTGTGTGAACACCTGTCCCAGAAATAGTTGATACAATTCTAATTTTAAGGAGTTTTTTAGTCTAATGTAGTGGTTCTTGGCTGGGACCGAGTTTCAGAACCTCTACAGAGCTTTAAAAAATGCAGACGTCTGCATTCCATCCTAAATAGTACAGGGAGAGATGAAGTTGTGCAGGTAGAATTGTAAAAGTTGCACAGGGTTCAGATCTATAACGTGGTTAAGAATGACTAATTTAGGGAAAGAACTCATTGGTAATTTATGTAAAATATATATTCTATAAAATTTATAATTCATCTTCCTCATGAGTTCCTATTCAGCTACACCTTTGAAAAAAGGTTTTTTTTTTAAAGTAGGCTCCACCTAGGCTCTACACTCAGTGTGGAGCCCAACGCAGGGCTTGAACTCACGACCCTGAGATCGTGACCTGAGCTGATACCAGGAGTCAGATGCTTAACCGACTGAGCCACCCCAGGCGCCCCCATATTCAGCTACACTTTTAACTAAACTTAGTTTCTCTGAATTTTTCTCCACAAATGAAAAGTAGTACAGCGCACAGTAATTGAGAACAGACTGGAATCAGATTATGGTTCATAAACCAACACTAACGCTGCCTCTTAGAGCCATGAGACCTGGAGCAAGCCACTTGAAAATCTGTTTGCCTCAGTTTCCTCTTCGGAAAAACAGGATTATAATAGTTCTAGCCTCCAGGGTTGTTGAGGATTAAATGGGGTGTCGGAAGCGAAGTGCTTAGCACAGCACCGACCTTGGTAAGAACAGTAGCATTTTTGGCATTTTAACTTGGCCTTCCCGCATCCTCTCCCCACTTCTGCAGTAGCCTGAAAACTCTGCAGCTTCGGAACTACGGGAGCTGTGAAGACCAGCAGCCTCGCGGCCACTGGGGAACAGATGGGGTTTGAACTCCTCAGGAAGTCCAGTCTGCTGGACGCGGGCACCTGTCCCACAGCTTCCCGGGAGAGCTCCATCCCAGGGCTTGTTCTTTGGCCTGCCTCCGAGACGGCTGTGTGCAAGAAGCTCTGTCTCTAGGACCTTAGTCTAAAGCAGTCACCTGCCATTGTCTGCCGACACTGTCATACCAGCTGGGCAAAGAAGAGCCCGGCCAAACGTTTAAAAGGGAGATCTGGGGAACGAGATGTTCTGTAGTGGGCTTTGAAATGCCCTGGGGATCTGGAAGGCTGTGCACATGTGCAGGACTCGGCTCACGCCTGGGAAAGACGTGACAGGGTCCTAGCCCCTCACCTCGGCTGGTCTTCAGGTCCCCCATGGTGAAGGCTGTGACAGACGTGTAGGCTGCTCGAACGTCGAAGGTGAGCACACCACACACACACACCAAGCTCATCAGCAAACGGTAGAAGACTCACTGGTTCCAAGCATTGAAGGACACCCTGCCCGGTCATCTGGCTGACCACCAACCTAAGCAAGCAGAGACCTCAGTGGCTGCACACAACAGGGAAGACAGACTTCAGAGAATTAGAACAGGAGAGTCACCAGGAAGCACCTAGCAGCAACAACAAACCCAGGGCACAGGCTGGAGATCCTCATTTCCACAGTTGCCACATCGTATTATCTCCAGTGTCCACTTGAAATAAAAAAAATTCAAGCACCGAAAGAAATGGAAAGTGTGGCCCATACTCAGGAAAAAAAAAACAGTCAATAGAAGCTCCCCCCCCCCGCCCCGAGGAGGCCCACGTGGTAGACTTTCCAGACAAAGATGTTACACCAGCTGTTACAGAAGTTCAAAATGCTGAGGGGAAACTACATGGAGGTGTTCTCTGGCATCTTCACGTCGGAATGTGTGGAGGCCATCGCCACTCTAAGTGGGGATCCCATAAATGAAATAATGAACGTTGTTAATGCCCTTGAGAAAGCTGAGCTTTTGAGCTCTGAGAAAGCTAATGTGGAGGCTGCGACCAGTAAATCGATTTTTATAAATTTCTCCACAGATTCGATCATATGCACTAGGCCTATGCACTGGGCTATTACTGCAGAGATATTTGTAATAGCAAAAGATTTGAAACAACTGAATGCCCATCAGTAGAGGGCTGGTGTATAAGTTATACAACAGGATATTATATGTCTGTGTTAAAAGAAAAAGTCTCTGGAAGGAGCCTTAAAAACAAATATCAGTGGTTACCTGTTGGTAGGAGGGAGATTTTCATTCTACAGCTTTTTTTTTTTTATAAGATTTTTTTTATTTACTTGAGAGAGAGAGAGCTCACAAGCCAGGGGGAGGGGCAGAGACAGAGGGAGAAGCAGGCTCCCCGCTGAGCAAGGAGCCCAATTCGGGACTTGATCCCAGGACTCCGGGATCACCACCTGAGCTAAAGGCAGACGCTTAACCAACTGAGCCACCCAGGCGCCGCTCATTCCACAACTTTTTATACTTTTTGAGGTTTGAACAGTGTGAATGGGTTACCTGTCTTCAAAATATAAGAAAAAACTGAGAGGAGACAACCTAAATGTCTAACAACAGGAACTGTGTTAAGTCCGCGACGGCATTTCTAAATTACAGTGTGTGTCTGCTACAAGTAACGTGCCCGCTGTGTTTATAATCATATAGGTAGATGCTTGTCAGTGGAAAACACAATGTTTTTAGTTGCTTTCTATTTTTCAGAATGCACTGAGAAAGATACTAGAAGATGTTCAATGTTGATTGTCTCTTCTTGATCTGATGGTGAGGTTTTCATCTCTATTCCACTTTTCTCTGTTTTAACTTTTCCTGTAGTGACTGACTTGAATACCTGTGACTTGGGTTAAGTCACTGGCCTTACGTGCGCCTCACTTTCATTATCTATCAAATGAGGGTGATGGTAGTAATCACCTCGGAGGACTTCCATAATGATGCAGTTAATATTATGTCTGAGAATATTATGACAGGAAAATGTTATAAATATTTGCATTAGTCTGTTTTATTATATAAAAATCCATGTAGTGACGAGATACCGCTTCACGTCCATCAGGATGACTTCTGTCAGAAAAGTGAGAGAAGAACAAGTGTTGGCAGGGATGAGGAGAAATTGGAGGCCTGACGCATGGCTGCTGGGAACGCAAAACGGTGCAGCCGCGTGGATAGGTACACGGGGTTACCATGTGATCCAGCAATTCCATTCTAGGTGTGTCCCCAGAAGAATTGAAAACAGAGACTGAAACAGATCCTTGTACACCAGTGTTCACAGTGGTCACAAGGTGGAAACAACTCAGGTGTCCACCAGGAGATGAATGGATAAACAAAATGTAGTGGACAGTTATTTAGCCATAAAAAGAGCTGAAATTCTGATACAAGCTGCAACATGGATGAGCCCTGGGAACATTGTGCTCAGTGCAGTAAGCCAAACACAAAAGGACTGGTGCTCTGTGATTCCACGTACATGAGCTACCCAGAATGGGCAAATTCAGAGAGACAAAGTAGAATAGAAGTTACCAGAGACTAACGGGAAGGGAGAATCTGGGCTGAAGAGTATCTTCTGCAAATAGACAGTGGTGATGGTTGTACAACATAATGAATGTACTGAGCACCACTGACTTGTATACTTAAAAATGGCTAAAGGTGGTAGATTTTATGTTAACGTATGTTTTACTACAATTAAAAAATTGGAGTAAGAAATAAAATCTGTATAAACACAGAAAATAAAATTTTTTTCTGATTAAAAAATCACTGCATATTCATTGTAGAAAACTTTGGAAAATTTAATAAGCCTGTAAAATATAATTCATCCATTCTGTTCTCTATAACCACTGATAACATGCCAATGCTTTTTAAAACCTGCATTATGGTTACATTTTATGCAAACATGAATTAGATAAAATAAGGGCAATATGAAACTATTGAAGTTTCATAATCTACACAGTGTTTGAAATTGTGTGAATCTGTCCACATTTTTAAGATGTGAAGAGATTCACTTAATTTCAGAGCCGACAGTCATGGAGAATTACAACCTGTGTTCGTGCTAATGCCATATGGTGGAGCCACTTCAGCAGATAAATAGAAGTGCTTCCTGATCTTTGACAGCAGCCTTGGAACTTGGGACTGTTACGCTGTTGAAGAAATGGAAACCTGACTGTCCCGTAGCAGTGTTCACTAGCTCACCCGGCGATGGCGTGCGTGGCTCTGGAGTACACCCCCGAACGAGCCACTGTGACCTAACACTGGAAGATGAAGGTTAAACAATCGCCCTGACCTTCGGTGCTGTTAATTGAGGAGTAGAGACTGTATGAGCAAAAGTGCTTAGAAAGTAGGATTTTAAAAAAGCAAAATATTTGTAAGCTCAGAAAAATCTGGAAATCAAGGCCAGGGTCGGAGTTGTGGGCATGCCGCCGTGTGCCCGGGCCTCTGTCTGTAGCAGCTGCTGCTTGTGGGCTGGAAGTGCGGACCAGCACTCCTGCCCGGCCCCTCTTGGCATTTGTTTCTATGGGAAAATTAGTCTCAACTTGAGTTTTGATTTCTGTGAGAATTTTGGGACTAGCATCCCTTGCATAAAAAAAGATGATTGGTTTTAAATGTGTTGGGTTTTTTTTCCCCATTGAATATTCTATGAGAGAGTATCTTACATTAAATATTCTTTTGTAAACATCGTTCAAAATGTCTGGGGGCGCCTGGGTGGTGCCGTCGGTTGGGCGTCTGACTCTTGGTTTTGGCTCAGGTCGTGATCTCGGGGTCATGGGATCCAGCCCCACGTCGGGCTCCGCGCTCAGTGTGGAGTCTGCTTGGGATTCTCTCCCTCCCTCTCTCTGCCCATCCCCACTTCTGTGCATGCTCTCTCTCTCGAGTAAGTCTTAAAAAAATAAATACAATGTTTGTATGTTTTCCTGTTATATGGATATGCCATGACTTATCCATCTCTTTCTTTGGACATTTATGTGGCTTCCAATTTTCAACTATTGTAAATAAACTTAAGGTGAACATCCTCAGAAGTACTTTTTTATGTATATGTTTTATAATCTCCTTGCAATAAATTCTAGGGATAAAATTACCTAGGAGAGTTTGTTTTTAAATTGTTTGCTCAAATTATTTGCCTGTTTTTCTGATGAGGTATTATTTGTTTTCTTGGTTAGCAAAAGCTGTCTTAAATGTGCTATTTGACAAAAAAAAAATCATAAAAATGAAAACTAACTTTAAACATTTATTTAAATGGTTTTCAACCTCTGTTGAAGCCACGGTTTTTTCTGAAAGCATTATAAATGCTTTATTTGCAGTAGATAATTTTCTTGAGTTGCTTTTCATTAATTCCTTCTAAATCAAAGCAAGCATAAGTATTGTGATCTTAATACCTCAAAGTATCTTTTTAAAAATTTGAAAATATTTCATCATTAATGACTGTGTATTGCAGTATGCTGTTTTTCAAACTGCAGGTTGCAACCATTAGTGGATCATGAAACCAATTTAGTAGTTCCCAACAAGCATTTTAAGGAAATCAGAACAGAATATATAAAAACACATGATCTTTTGCAAGGGTATTATTCCATGAACTGTTTGTTTAGCTATTTTACAAAGTATATGTGTGCTGGGTCATGGTGTAGAATGGAATTCATACTGAGAGTCACAATAAAAAAAAATTTTTTTTGAAGGCCGTTAGTTGGAATGGGTAAGAATAGAGTCTCCGGGCATAGGTCTGATTCTCAGCTCTGCCACGTCACCAGCTTTGTGACCGGGGGTTAGGAACCTAACCTCTCCATACCTTGTCTTTCTGAGGGTAGAGTGGGAATAATGTTAGTATCTACCTTATGAGGCTTCTGGAAAGATCAAATGAGCTAATCAAAGTAAGTGCTTAAAGTAAACATTAGCTACTGTTATTAATAAGGTTATTAATATAGGTTCATTGTTCATTATAGACCATTTAAAAAATACATCGGAAAAGGTTCCCCAGGGGCGCCTGCGTGGGTCAGTCGGTTAAGCGTCTGCCTTCAGCTCAGGTCATGATCTCAGGGTCTTGGGATCGAGCCCTGCATCGGGCTCCCTGCTTGGGGGGGAGCCTGCTTCTCCCTCCACCCCTCCCCCCCCGCTCATGCTCTCTCTTTCTTAAATAAATAAATAAAATCTTAAAAGATTTCACATCCTACTGAGGTAACCACTGGAAGAATCTTTTCCCATTACTACCTTAGGAATATAGAAAATTTAATGACACAATCTTTAGTAGTTTGATGAGAATTCTGCATTCACTTATGTGGTCTCAGGAGAAAAGCTTTAAATATCAACGACCTGAACATGTCCAGAAATTTGGGCATGTAAATATAAACTTGAGATAAGCTAAACCGGGTTCACTAACGATAGAGCGAAGCCCAAGCCACTTTCTTGAATAAAGACGAAGGAAATGGGGTCAAGAAGTCTGGGGGTGGCTGTTTGGTTTATTCCTAATGTTGAATGCGGAGATCCTTTGTGTTGCCCTCATAAGTCCTACTCAAGGGAGGCTGACCAAGTACAGAGTCCTTTTTATAACTTCTCCCCAGGTCTCCTCAGCCCTTCTGTGACCCTAAACCCCATGTAGGTGCCCATAAATTCTTGCATTTACCTTGTTAGCTCCCCTCTCCCCTGAGCCCTGGACTTACAGATCCAACTTTCTACTTTACTTCTCTTCTTGGAAATTGCACAGGCCTTTTAAAGTCAACATACCTAAATAGCATTTGATCTTTTCTTTTCGCCACCGAAACTAGTTCTTCCTCGGGTCTCTCCTGCCATCAGTGAGCATCGCTCAGCTGCTGGAGCCCCAAACTGGAGAGTGTCTCTGGCTTTTCTTGCTTCTCCTGTACCCCTAGTGCCATCAGCAGCTCCTGTCAGCGGTGCCTCCAGACTATGTCTCCCCGCACCCCTGCATCCCTGCAGTCCCCGCGTGGGGCTGGCCAGCCGCTGCCCGCTGGGAACTGTGCGGACCTGCTCCCGCTCTTGAGCCCCGCACTTGGGGTGATGTGTCGTTAACACACAGCAAGCATGTCCCCTGACTGAAAAGCATGAGTAACCTCCCGTGTCACTTAGGATACAAATCACACTCCTTACCCCAGCCTAAGAGGCCCCACTGCCCTTCTTCTACCAAATTTCTCACCATTCTTTCTCTCACTTTGGCCCCACTGGCCTTTTCTCAAGAGCTGACCTCACCCAGAATTTTTACTTTGAGACTTCATACACACTTCACATGTTTCTCTGCCTGGGACACCCCCTCTGTCCTTTCTCCTGTACATGGGATTTTCATCTGCCTAGGCTCAGGTTATGTGTTACTTCCTCAGTGACACTTTGCCCA